AACTGTTACTTTTCTTTTTCCTTCGTTTATTTTTCTTTTACTTCTATTGATTTACCATTTTCTATTAATTACTAATTTATAATATTTTCATTCTTTTATTTTTCTTATTTTTTCTTTCTCTTTTCTTTCCCCCGGCCCCCGTCCTTGGCAAAAATATCGAGCGGGGCCGTTGTACCTGTAACAGGATATTGTGTCCTTGAGGACCTTCCAGCGTCCACTTGCAGTTGCTGAGGGGCGCGTACTTGTGCGGGTAATTGGGGCTCTCGACCACGTCACCGCTGCTGGCCATGTAGAACTGGCAATTGGTCGGGCAGTCGATCTCGTCCGAAAAGTCGCCGCAGTCGTCCTGTTTGTCGCACTTGAACGCCCCGTTCACGCACTTCCCATTGGAACAGTGGAAAGAGCCTACGAGCCAATCGGCCAAATAATACAATAATAGTGCGATAGCCCCCAAAGTGTAAGGTTTGAAGGCTTAGAGATTAAGTGAGATTAAATGATGTACCAGCTGGACAGGCGTTGGCACGGCACATGAAAGGGAGCAACGACTCGCACGTGGTGAGCTCCCACGTTTGTCGGTCATCTGTCAACGCGACGTCCACGCATTCACCTGATTGCGGATTCGGTTGCCTCGGCGCCCAGAAACCTGAATACCAAAAAAGTCACTTCAGAATCGCCTGTTACTGTCGGAATTTTAAGGTGACATTGCCATTCCGAACGGGACAAATTTAGGAAATTTAGGGAAACTGCTCCGCGGGAATAAAATAATAGATTTGATCTAGCTTCCATTTAGAGGGAAAGAATTTTTTTTTTCTTCGATGGAACAAAATTTTGGAAATTTAGGAAAATTTCTTCGACGAAAATCGATCCGTTTGACATCAGATACTATCAAACTGGACAAAAATTTATCAATTTGCACTTTCGTCAGGCATTTTATAGACGTAAAAATAGCGTGTTTAATAATTTTATATTATTAATATTTAATTATTAAATTTATATTAATTTATATTTAAATAATTTTTCGCAAAATACATGAATTTTTTTATTAGTTTTTTTATTAGTTTCTCTATTTTTTTGTCTTTGGCGTCTCTGGTGCAAATTTTGTGCTTTGATCGTCAATGGTTCTAGTGTTAATTCAGCTTCCATCTAGGACAGTGGTTCCTAACCTGGTGTCTCTGGAGATACACGAAAATAATATTGATAATAGCGGAGAACATCGAGAGAGAGAGAGAGAGAGAGAAAAAAAGAGTTAGAATAAAAACACAAAAATAAAAACACAAAATTTTACAAAGAGAAACTAACTGTGAAAGTTTTTGAGGAATGGGTGGAGGTTTATGGGAGGAGAGGGTACTATTATTTATTTATTGCATTGTTTAGATTAGGTTTATCTATAAATGAAAAAAAGGTTATTTATTTATTTATTATTAGGTTATTTATACCTATTAATTTATTATTTTATTAGGTTATTTATTTATTGCATTGTTAGGTTTATCTGTAAGTGAAAAAAAGTTAGGTTATTTATTTATTGTTTATTTATTTATTATTTATTTAGTTATTGTTTGTTTATTTATTGTTTATTATTTATTTTTTATTTATTGTTTATTTATTTATTGATTTATTATTTATTTATTTATTGCTCAGGTTAGGTATCTATAAGTAGGTTTATCTATAGTTTACTAATTGCTGATCTAGAAGGAAGGAATTTCTTTGTCCGACGAAACGAGATTGGAAAATTTATTTAATAAAAAAAATTGCACCGACGAAAATATCCGTTTAATCCAGCTTTCGTCCAGAGGGAAAGAAAATTCTTTTCATTCGACGTACGTACGAGGGTGGTACACTGGAGTAAAGGAAATGTTACGCGAACAGCGTAGTAACATTTCAGACGAGTAAATTGCAGCTGGCACCTGAGCAGACGTAAAAGCGACGGTATCTGGGCATTGTTACGGGAAAAGTGTGTCTTCGTGCCGTATACGCGACGCAGTTCCGCGTTTCCGTGACCCCGATGAAAACCGGCCGGCGTGCGCGTGCCGCTCGGTCGTTAGAAAAACAGACAATTTCGGATCAAACAGACAAATCGTCGGTGTCTTCTTCTCTACGGACAGAACTTCGCACGTTCGTAACGACTTGAACATTTGAAATAGGCGTCCTTGTCACTAGAACTACCAGAATGGTCAAAATGACCATTTGAATACTTTTCAATGTTTGAGTATTTTATATATGTGGAATTAAATTATTATTAAATAATTAAATATTATATATATATAGAATTAAATTATTATTAAATAATTAAATATTTTATATATGTGGAATTAAATTATCATTAAATAATTAAATATTTTATATATGTGGAATTAAATTATCATTAAATATTTAAATATTTTATATATACGGAATTAAATTATCATTAAATATTTAAATATTTTATATATATATATAATTAAATTATTATTAAATATTTAAATATTTTATATATATAATTAACTTATTATTAAATATTTAAGTATTTTATATATATAATTAACTTATTATTAAATATTTAAATATTTTATATATATAATTAAATTATTATTAAATATTTAAATATTTTATATATATATATAATTAAATATATTTTATATATAACTATATATAACTATATATATATATATATATATATATATATATATATATATATATATATAGTTAGTTAGTTAGTTAGTTTTTATATATTTTATATAAACAGATAGTTTCTTCCGGAAATTACCCGGTTTTCAAACGGATAACACTAATCACTTTCTAATTTCTAATCACTTCAAATTAACACTGCAACTTCCAAAATGGTCAAAACGACTATTTCAATATTTTTGTCAGATGTATCTTACAGACATGAAACAGTGTATTTTTCCACTTGTACTCGAAGGTACATTTTCCTTCTCCGAAACACAAGCTCGAACAATCACGACTGCGGAATGAATTTCCATTTGTTCAACCCCTTGCGCTGGAACGACGCGCCACGCACGTCGGGAATTTTTTTGTCCCAAACGTTGCAACATTTCCTCAGCTCTAAATATATATTTAAGTATAATCCAGGCAGAACGAATAATAATAAATTCATTACTTCTCAAATAATTTCTATCCAGCGATGTCACACCGACCTCAGTTCAAAAGGGAAAGAGAGCGACGAATTATTGTACACGGTCACTCGTTACGGTCCGCGCGTACCAGCGCAAAGGGTTGAAATGAACTCTACATTTTAAAAGTACCCATGACCAGTCTTCCATTTCTTCTCACTCTTGTTCCTTCTTCGAACTACATCAATTATATATGGATCAATGACTAATAAAGGGAGGATGGGGAGAGGAAACACGGGATCGAGCGGTAAATGGCGCGAAACAATGGTGATTTTACAAACCGGCGTATTGGGAGACGAGCATTCCAGCGGCCGATTCGAGCGTGTTGGTCCGTAGATCGTCGAGGGAGGCCAGTCCAAGCCAGTAACGATCCAAATGCCGGCCGATCATGCTCGCGGACATGTTGTTCTCGCTGTACGACTCCACCACCATCAATTCGCTGCCGTACCTGCAATCGCACGTCAATTCGTCCATCTCTCGCGATCGTTCTAGCGTGTAATAACGCGGTTACACGAGACGTTGCTCGTCGAGCTCCTCCGCCAAGTTTCAACTTCATTTTTCCTTTTTTAATGTCGACGAGCCCCGATAAATGAACATCCAGTCGTTTACACAGGAGATATCGATCCCGTGACGACGTTCTGACTCGAATTTCTCGCTACTCAAGTGAAACTGTTACGCGTTTTTATCGAACAAGACTTACTTGTGGGACAAGCTCAGAAAGCGCTAAAATATTATTTATAATTTGCACTTGTTAACGAAGCTTCGAGCGCGAGTTCGATGCAGTTCCTTTTCTCGCGATAAGTGAAACGCAAGATCGCATTCCAAGTCAGGAAATTGTGCAAAAGTTTTTTTTTTGTTACGAAGAAAATACGAGACTGCTGGGAAGAAATATTAATAGAAACGTGACTAAGAAAATTACAATAATTTTTTGATGGATACAATGGAAAATCTTTAGAAACAACTTTTGTTAAAACCTATTGATGTTACTATTGCATGATTGTACACTGTTTGAATGATAAATATCAGTAAAAGCAATATTCAGCTACTATTCTTTCCTGCAAATCTTAAAGATTTTCAAGTTTTAATGCATGTGTACTAAATACGAATTGCATATGAATTGCATATTAGGGACTTTCGCGACCTGAAATACCGACACAGTAAAAAAAAAACACTGATTTTTCAGCGCATTCTACGTCAAATTGAGAAACTAGCGAATACAATATTTTTGAGATCCGTTACAGTGTCGCCAAATTTTCAATACCGAAATGTGAAGCTAGTGACTAACCATTCAGAATCATTCTGCTGCATATCCACGTTTTACAGATCACAATTTTTTTTTTTTTTCACAACTTTATATACAGTAAATAAAAATTTTCAAATTGTTAATATACGGTATTATAAATAATAACGACTAAATATATATTTTATATTCTCTGAAACAAACTTTTACCTAATGAAATTTTCAACTATTTTTAATTATCATTGAAATATCAAAATCTGTGAAGATTACTGCGACCGACACGGCACTTGTTAATCTACGAAAAAAAGTCAGTGCCACCGAGACAAATACGACAAAGAGGCTATCAACGAAAGCACTCACCTCCTGCATAGTTCCGCCGCCTTCTCCCAAGAGTGCCTGATGTTGAAGAATTTGTAGCAATGTATGCCTCTCAGTTCCCATCCTGTGCAAAAAAAAGAATATCAAATTATAATACATCTCTCTTGCACGAGAACACAATGGCGAAACGAAGCAAAATTGAGCAGAACGGAGCGGCGTTCAAGTTCCACTTTCTTTCTGAATCCCGAATCATCGTAATCGCATTCACAATTGTGAATGCGAGGGACCTCCTCGGTGCAAGTTCGACGATAGAAACGCGGTTAATCGGTGACCCGCGGTGCATGTACAGACAACGACCCCGATCGTTTTTAACAAGCGACAGAAACGTGCGGTGAGCAACGAGAGTCGGAGAGGTAGGTCGCTGGGTAAGTCGGGTAACACGTCGTAAAAGAGAACCGCGCCGAGTAAAACGCTTCTCGTTCTGCTCGCGTCGTTGACCGCCCGATCCTCCAGACACATTTCCCATCCAGTTTTACCTTCGATTTCCTTCAAATTCAATTCTTTCCGAGCTCAACGTACCGGTGACGATGAAAAATCGTGGACGATTTAAAGGGCGGTACAACTTTGTGGAAAATCATACAACTTGGTCTCGTTTTTTAACCACGTTGCGCTGGCAGCTGATTGCGGACCATAACGAGTGACCGAACCCGTATACAATGATATCGTCGCTTTCTTTTGGAACTCGTCGGTGCATAGACATTATTAATAATAAATATTAATTAATAAATTTAGAATTAATAAGTTTAGAATTAATAAATTTAGAATTAATAAATAAAAATATTAATTAATAAATTTAGAATAGATTAGTGATAAATTTATTATTTGTTTCGCCTGGATTATACTTAAATATACTTAAAACTGAGAAGATATTGCGAGCAATTTTGGAACAAAAAATTCTCGATGTGCGTGGCATCCTAGCGCAAGAAGTCAAAGAGCGAAACTTCTGCTTTGACGAACGTGAAATCCTTCTGAAAATGATTTTACTTGGCGATCCGTGAGAAAGTGAAGACACATTTTTCTCGAAAATTATCAAAGTTCAAGCAATGCTTCTGAAAGTATTAAAAAAAATCTACCACAAGTCTCCTCTTTATGATAATCTTTTCTAAAATTCGTGATTGTGTTAGATTTGGGTTATGAAAAAGAGTTCTTTCAACGAGAGAGACACTTGAATTTCTACAATTTTCGAGAACAGAACAGAAAAGAATATCTTATCTTTGAAAAAAAAAAAAAAAAAAAAAANAAAATTTTCAAAAACAAAACAAAAAAAAATATCTTATTTTTGAAAAAAAAAAAAAAAAAAACAGCTCGAGACTAGCAGGGCAAAAGATTTACTCTTTAAAGCGAGGCTGACTGAATTATTGTCTCGCAAATGAACATGGATATTTTCTAAAAACTGATAGGTAAATACAGAAATCGACAAGATCGGTATCGTTCAAGGATACAAGTGTCGTTTATCGGATTTTATTACAGTATATAAGTAATATTAGTCGCGAACAGGCTGGGGTATTCAACGATGCAATTTCTCAATGGTCTCTCGACAAGCCAGCTTGCGTTGAACTCGCCAAGAAAAACACGATGGCGGCCTTCCTTTCTTTTAAAAGGTCAAACGGCCATGTACGCGGCTCTCCTCGCGACCATTAGCATTTCCTTGGACGAACCAACGCAACGCACGAAGAGTATCTCGATAAGAAATATACTTGATAAATCCACGAAACATTATAAGAAAAAAATCGACTTAATATTCCCTCTTAATAGTTGAGGAAGATGACGCGAAGTTAGCTTGGTTTAGTCCCACAACCAAATACAAAAATTATGAAACTTTTACAAATAATTAGATCACGTTCTGATTCCAAATTTACTACTTATATTGCACGTGTAATTGCTTAATTTCCCCAACTATTGCTTAACTAATCCAAACCTAACCTGAAAATTTAATAGATAGTAGATAAGAAATTTACAAGTTATATATTCTACGTGAAATTGTTTAACTTGACTTGGCTTGAGAATCTTTTAAAAAATTTTTTAAGAAATTCCACGTGTAATTGCTTCACTTGACCTAACCTGAAAATTTAGTAGACAAGAAATTTACAAGTTATATATTCTACGTGCAATTGCTTAACTTGGCTTAAAAATTTTTCTTTCAACGCGACTCGACGATCATGCGACGAATTATTCATGGCTCGGTGAACGGAGCGTGGCCCCAAGGTCCTCGCGTAGGACCAACGAACTGAAATGAAGTTGTTTCTTCCGAAGCTCGGCGCCGGAAAGCGGTAGAAAGAATCGTGGTTGCCAGCGCGAGGTCCGGCTCGAATCAAACTTGAAACTTGCACGGAACTCACGCGACAGAACACGGTTAACGATCAAGTAGCCTCATGCTGGTAACGTGCAACCTACTTAATTGCGCTGCCAGTAACGAGGAAAAGTGGAGCAACGTTACGAATGGCCGAACTCTTATCCTCATTGCCCCTCGCGTGATTTATTTATTCGCCGTACGCGTCTCGCTTTCGTACTCCTCTTCGCCGATTTCTTCCTTTTGCCAATTTGAATAACACACCGAGCGCATGTAACGCATACGTATAAAAGGAAAGGCTGCTCTTTTTTTAAAGAAAGATGAGAAAAATAAAAAGAAAAGAGATACGGAGACGCGAAAATATTGCAACGAAATCGAAACAAGATAAGCGAGCAGAAAACATCTGTCTTGTCTCGAAAAGAGAATGAAATTCTGAAGGAATTAAAAGTATATATATATATATATATATATATATATATACAGGGTGTTTCGTAACTTGTGGAACCCACTTCGGGAACTGACTGTACGCCTAAAAAAAGTCTAAGTATAGTCTAAGAAAGTATATATAAATATATGTCCCATCTGTCTTCGTTTATGAGATACAATGAATTTTATAAA